CCAAAATTGAGCCCTTAATCTTCCATCACTCATCTGCTCCTCCTCTGACTGTCCCCACCTCAGTAGATGGCATGAGTGTCGGCCCACTTGCTCACCCTCCCTTCCTCACCCGCTGTATCCAACTGATTATCAACCCTTTGAGTTGGCCTCCATAACATGTCTCCAGTCTGTCTGCATCTCTTTGTCTCCGTGCTACCACTCTGCCCAAGCCACCGTGACTGTAATGCAGTGTAGTGATGCTAGGCTCTCGGTGCCCACTCGTGCCCTCCCCCCCACCATCGTTGGCTTCCTCCATAAAGGTGACAGAGTGATCCTTAAAAATACAAATCTGTTTTATTCTGCTTCAAATCATCCCTCGGTGTCATAAAAGCTCAGTGTCTTTGGCATTGGCCTTCGAGGCTCCAGCCTCAGCTTGCCCCATTCTCCATCTTGCTCACTCGGCTTCAGCCACACTTGGTTGAGCCCTCCAACCCTAGGGCTCTTTGCACAGGCTGTGCTCCATGCCTGGAACAATCTGCTTCCCATCCCCAACCCTCTCCCAACACTCTGCCAGCTTATTCCTGCCCTTCCTCTAAATCTTAGCTTAGATGTCACCTCATTGCTAATGCACCCCTGACACCACCCCCACCCACCCCTATGTGCTCATAACAGTCTACGTACGCTCTTCCATCATAGCACTTGCCTGAACTGTGAGTGTAAGTTAATTACCTGATAACCTGCATAATGCCTATTAATGCCTGGTGAACAGCATGAGGGCAGGTAGCCCTCACTGTATCCCTAGTACTTAGCACTGGGTCTGACATTTCGCAGGCCCTTGATAAATACTTGCTGAATGAATGGAACTGAATAAAGGAGGATGAGTTGAGGTTGAGGGCAAAGGGAAAGATCTGACTCACCCTCACCGCTGTCTGACCCTAGACCAAGAATACCTCTTGAGAAGCTAATGACTCTAATGCCTCCTTTTCTCTGGGACTCTGTGCTGCTGGCTTCCTCAGGTAATATGATCTTTGAAATGGTCTTTCTATAATTTGTAAAGTCAGTGTGTGACTGCCCCAGGCTCACTACGGGATGTTTCTGTACTGTACAAATGGAGAAGTACCAAATGGTATTCACCAGGGCAGCTGTCTGTTCCTTTAAAATCTACACCAGTAACTTCCCAGGAGTAGAAGGACAAGTATTTTCTCCAGCAGATAGTACAATTGGTGGAAGCACATACCCACTGCCTAGTAACCAAAATTGCTTTAATTCAAGCTGGCTTTGGAGGTTTCTTAACAGAAACTTCAATCAGTTTTCCTACACTAAATGTAAAAATTGCAATACATTTTTCTCATCAAACAATAATTAACTTTAATGCTATTAAAATATCTCATACCCAAGATACTGTATGATTTCAGGAGCACTACGAATTTAATATTTGGATGGAAATGCTTTGGAGTACTCCGCATCTCTCCTTCAGCATTACCCAGGCTCGACACCGTTTTACATCCCTCCCTAATGAGCTTATAGAGAGAGAATTGCTTCGTCATGTACCCATGTAGTAAAGGTCCTTGTTGCCATATTTAGAAGACTGTGTCCAACATAAATTCCACTCTCAAATCTCTTTCTCGTAATGAACCTCCATCGACATAATGAGTTCCTTGGAAGGAAGGCATTGTGTAAATTAAAAATACTAATGAGTCATAATGATAATGAATGATTTTTCTTGTTTCTGGGAGCAGGACTAACCTTGGGCACATTTTCCAGTAGCTGAAGTTGCCTTCCCTGCACCCAGGACTGCCCTACCCCCGGGAGCCTGTACTCTAAAATATCTCCTCCTTTTTTTTCTTCTCATCAAAACTCCGAATCCCCCAAGTGTCCCTGATCTTAGCTGGTCAGTCTTGGAGGAAAGGAAGTTACTGAACTGGCTCACACTAAGGTATGAATGACCCAAAGCACCTGTTGGCTGTTGCCAGCAACACCCTGCCTGCCCCTTCGCAGGGATACTCTTATTCTAAAAGGAGCTGATTAGCACAGAACTGGTGGACTTTCCAGCTGAGACGAGCCGAGTGTCTCAGGGATTGTCTGGTTACAAGTCACAGGAACCACTCAAGCCAACTAGACAAAAATAATTTCTTGGCGGGATACAAAGGCAGCCCTCACAGAACTCAGTGGAGGCACAGCTGGGCTTTGGGCGGGGCCGGGACAGGACAGGCTTGCTGTGAGGACCTGGGGTGAACTTCTGTTTCTCTGGGACTGTTGTCCGCAGACTCTCGTCACAACTGCTTCGCTCTCTCCTCCTCTGCAGACAGACTCACTCTGCTCTTCATGCACATGGGCCGCCTATGGCACCGCTGAGTCAAGGCAAAAATAATTGTCCCTCTACGTGCCCTCAGTTCCAAGGTCCTGTTTCCACACTCTTGGGAGAGGGCTCAAGGCCACATGGGACAAACACAATACCTCGCCCAGGGTAACGGCTCAGTTAAGTGTTTGTTGTTTTAATAAACAGGATGGGGGGCCCACCCGTAAGGGGAGGGAAGGGGCCACATCTCCAAAAGAAGTCTACTACACCAGGCCAAGGAGATTCTTGCTTAATTCGGTTGGGAACCCGGAATGTTGAAGGGTTTTGGGTCAGGAGAGTGACACTAGCTCACGCGTTAAAAACAGGCCCTGGTGGGATCTGTAAGAGCTGGGCAAGGAGCTCCTGGCGCCAAGTTCATCCTATGGGAACAATGACTTGCAAACAATGGGATTTGTTCCTACTCCACTGGCACTGGAGTCGGTTGGGACTCAGCGTGGTTTAATGACTCAAGAAAAGGGAGATTTGCCATCTGTTTTCCACTTTGTATGGACTTGCTGGGAACTTGGGTAAGTCACGGAACCTCTTTGGGATTCTCTTAATTCCAATTCTTTTAATAAAAAAAATACACACATACACGTATATATGCATGTACACACTTCACTTATATATTTGTATGTTATTATTTTAGCAGATTATTATTATGTTTTTCCTGGCCTGAAAAGACACTGATGGTACACGAGAAGGGCCTCAGAAAGCCAGCTGGGCGGTTGGAGGATTATAAATTGCTTGTGGCCAGACAGAGATGCTTCATCGCCTTCTCAGGGAGGAGAAATGCTTGGTGCATGTGAAGAGTTACGCATGTTCTTTGGAATGATAAAGCTGGTGACCTAGGAGGCAAAAAGCCTACAGAAGCACATGATGTCTCAGATCTGCTCCTTCCCATGGGTGGGCACAGGAGAAGGGTTGGGAAGGGCCTGTTTTGTGGACGTGGGTTGAGGGAGATTTTAAAAGATAGAAAAACCACTGATAGGCCTGTTGCCAAAAACTGTTTTTTTCCAGAAGTTTTTATAAAACACCTACCACCTGGCTGTGTCCTGGAGGAGAATATTTGGCTGGGGGGGCAGGGTGTGGGGTGAGGGTGAGGGGGGGCAGCCAATCCCCCTGCAGGTGACTCTGTTAATGTCTAAATGGATACAGGTGTGTTCTCACAGAGGCTGAAGCAGAAAACAAAATGCACAACCATCCCTTGGGTGGGGAGGAGAGGTGCAGAGGGGCTGGCCCCAGCTCTCGTCCATCTGGAGAGGAGAGAGGAGGTGCCCCCGGGCAGGAGGGTGAGCAGGCCCAGCCCTCAGCCTGGCCTGGGCTCCGTTGGCCAGGCCGTCTGGGAGGGAAGCAGCAGGCCTCTCAGAGGAGGGGCTGCAGGCTGCTGTGTGGAACCCACTTCCAGCTTTCATTTCCTTTACTCAGAGGAGCCGTTTATGACAATCCCTCACGGCAGGCTGATGGGGCAGATAGCTTTTGGCAGAAGTCCTTTCTCCTTCTCCCAAATTAGATCACAGAGAAAGCCGCCAGCAATGAATACAAAAAAAGTGTTCAAGGCCACTGGATGGAGGGGAACAGCTGTTAAACATCCACAAATACTAACAAGGCAGGCCCCTCCAAAAACAAATTGGGCTGTGGACAACTAAGAATGCTGTCTGGGATGCAAGTCACAACTCTGAATTATATTATTATTATTAATTACTGAATTATAATAATAGTAATAATAATACAGAAATAAAATGACAACAACCAGTGTGCACAGAGAGCTTTCCAGTCCACACACACGTTTTTATTTCACCACAAAACTCTCTGATCCTAAGAGGTGGGCTGGCCGGCTATTATCTCCCTCTGACAAGTAAAGAAACCAAGGCCACAACTGCCATATCCACTTGCACAAGGTCACACCGCTGTAGGTGCCATTGCCAGGGCTCAAATTCAGGATTTCCCCTAGCGCCCTGTCCATGACGCCAGGCTGCCTCTGTGAGCTTGGGTGCAGGGCACACAGCGGTGGGCGGAGTTCATCAGGCAAAAGCTTTGAGGAATGGCCCAGAAAAGAGCCAGGGGCCCACCACTTGGAAACCTTGTTTCTCACCTCATGTTGGGGTAAGGTGCTTTAATTTACCTGCCCCTCACCTTAAAACAGGTAATATATGTTCATTGTTTAAAACAATACAGGTAGGCATAAGAACGTAGAAATAATTCCACCACTCAGAGATAAGCATTTTTAACACTTTAGTGCACCAAAATTTTATCCTTGCAAATATTTTCTCTTTGTTTTGACACATCTTTCCTCACAAAACTGGAATTGTGTTGTTCCTGTCATTTTGTAACTTCTCATTCCATATACTGTGAATATCTTTCCACGTCAAATACACTTGAACAGTATTCTTCTCATTTTGTTAAAAATGTTATATATATGTTTTATGATTGCAGAAATCATAAAATTACATGCTCATTGTAAAAATACTCAAATTCAACAGTACAGAAATGCATAGCAAAGGAAGCAAACGTTTTACTTAATCTCACCCTTGGGACATAGCAGTGTTGCTAAATTTCATATTTCCTATTCATATTTTTCTAGGCACAGACTAGACATAATGAACATATGTGTATATATACTTTTTTTCCCCACAAAGTGGGCCCCTAGCCTGTTCTGCGGTTTGAGTTTCCCTCCCTGTAGGGTGGATATCTCTTCCTCTCAGTCAGTGCATGAGGTTCAGAGGCATCTTTGCTCCAGTTCTGGGGAGAGGAAAACCTGAGACTGGAGAAGGAACAACGGCGCAAGCAATGGCAACGCAGAGCCAGTTACGGCATGTGGACTAAAAGTTCCCCGAGAGGAAGGAGACTGCAGCTCGGGTAGCCACTTGCCTCCTCCGGAAGATGCAGGTAACCAGGTCCCACCTCCCTGCCTCCCCTCAGGGCCACGGAGAGAAGGGGGTCCGCAGCACCCATAGCTCCCCACCTCACGGATGCTCTGTGCCTCTTCAGGTGGGCATATCCTCAGACTGTCCTGAGCCCTGTGTTGGAGAAAGAACACGACCCCAGAGTGGTGAGTTGACCTTTTGGGATGTTTATAAGTAAACAACTTTGTTCCTGATGGGTCCTACATATGCTGCCCCCACTGTCCTAAGGGGCCATTCTGTCCACATCCACAGGGAAAACCAAATTCTGTCCAATGGGCCTATAGGCCTTTGGTTTAATAACCTGAAATCAAGTATCGGTGCGCCAGCCTGGACAGCGTCCAGTAGGTCTAGAGAGGAGCCGATGAAGACTAGGAGGGGTCCAGGTCAAGATGAGGGTCAGCCTGTGCTGCTTCCCAGGGACGTGCTTTTGAGGAGCTCCTGACGGGGAGCCCGAATGCTCCTTCTGGCCGTGGAGACTTCCTGGGAGCCACCCCAAATCCTGCCTCCCCTGCTCTCAGGGGGACCTCCACCTCCCCTGCTCCTGCCTCTTGTCATGGCTGGGTGGCTGCTGCCCACACTTGGCCCACGAATTCCCTGTGAAAAGGGAGGAAGAACCGTGCAAAGAGCCACGTTAAAGACTCCAGCCCTCACAGAAGGCTTTTCCCCGGAAGTCATCTGCGAGTTGGCAAAGCCTTGGAAAGGAAGGCTTCTGAAGAGCAGGGGCAGCTGTGGGAGGCGAGCAGGTCAGGAGTGGGTGAGTGCATTTCCTGGAGAACATGCTGCTCACATGGGAGGGGACAGGCTAATGGAGCCAGTTCTCTCCTAATGGATGAAAGTGACACAAATCAGAGAAATCAGGAAGAAGGCAATTTACGTCGGCTGCCTTCTCTCTGCTGTGGTGGGCAGAATAATGACCCACCCTCCCACAAGCTGTCCATGTCCTAATTCCTGGAACCTGTGAATATGTCACCTTTACATGGCAAAAAGGGACTTTGCAGAAGTTATTAAATTAAGGATCTTGAGATGGGGAGAGGATCCTGGATTATCCAGGTGGGCCCAATGTAGTCACAAGAGTCCTTAAAAGAGGGAGGCAGGAGGGCTGGAGTCAGAGAAGGAGATGTGATGATGAAAGCAGGGGTCAGAGTGGTCAGCCGCAAACCAAGGAATGCCAGCGGCCTCTGGAAGATGGAGAAGGTAGGGAAGGGATTCCTCCGTAAAACCTCCAGAAGGAATGCTGCTCTGCTGACACCTTGATTTTAGTCCCATGAGACCCATTTCAGACTTCTGACTTCCAGAGCTGTAAGAGAACACATCTGTGTTGTTTTAAGCTAATAAGTTTGTGGTCATTTGTTGCAACAGCAACAAGAAAACTAATATACTGCTTGACAGAGAAGGGGACTGGGAGGGTATTCCAAACTTTTGTTTATAAATTTCCATTATATTTATTGCAGATAACAGTCTCCTCAGGAGGAACGTTGGTTCAGAAATTGAACACCAATGATCTACCGTCAGAAAGGACAGTGTTTAGTGGAACTATGGTCTCTGCACAAAACAGTAAGTGAGGTGGTTTTCTCAAGACTGCATTTTATTAATGTGCCACGTGTGCTCTTATCCAAGGAAGGCTTATTCTGGGATACACATTAATTTGGATCTTAGTAATTCACAGCAGCACCTGCAAATGTTCCCTGGCTAAGAAGGAATCCTCTTCTCCATCAGTAGTAGAGCATAGCTCTGCTCAGACCAGGGTGGGCCTTCAGCACGCTCCTGGGAGAAGCCACAAAAGCTGCCACCTCTCTTCTCGGTGTTTCTCAGACCCACCAAGAAAATAGTGAGAGCCAGTGACCACCGAAACAGGAGCCCAGCAGAGGTATCGGTGCCCTGCACAGTGCAGACAGAGGAAGGATGGTGGGACCCACTCCTCTCTCCTCTGGGCAGCCCCCTGCTCACCGGCTAAACAGATGCCACAGGAACAACTCGGGGTTCCCTGGGCTCACTGTGAAGGGCATGCACCTTCAATTCTGCAGAAATAAAAGGGCAAGGGTCCAGCTCTCATGCCTGGTCTTAACAGAACATGTAGTCGTGCTGCCATATCTCAGCTTGTTACAGCTATTTTTAAAAGCCTGCTATGTAACTTCCACACCGACAGTTCTTGCCCTTAAATCCAGCTGGTGGGGCTCCCTCACGGTGAAGCTTTCCCTGTTGGTGTTGTCTGCCTCCGCAGGTAGCCCTGTCCGGTGCTCTCCCCGCCTCAGCCTCTGCCCACTGTGCACCCTGGGTGTGCCCCGCTTTTGCTCACTGACTCCAGACCAAATCCTGGTGGATTACTTCTCATGACTCAAAATCCTGACATTTCAAAGAGCCATACTGCTTTATAACTTTCCCAGGGGACATGGGAATAAACCACACACCCATCATAAATGAGGCCTAGATGGAGGTCTTTACAAAGGGTGATCAAACCGCCCTGGGATTGGGCAGCAGCCTCAACACAGCTGAGGGTTAAGCGGGGTATTTAATGATATTTTTAAAAAATTTGCAACTGATATGTTCTCTAAGCATCTCTAGGAGTTAATTCACATATTAATGGACACCCACTCAGTGCCGGCCTGCGCTGGGGGCCTGAGCTTGGGTATAGCAAAGAATAGAGTCGCACAAGTGATTGTGCAAGAGGAAGATCTGGGTGTTGAGGGGACTTAATTTCATGGGGGGAGGAGGTTAGGGAAGTCCCAGGCAGCGTGCAGTTTGTTCTCACGTTCTGCTGTCTCTGCTCATCTACGCAGGCGGGGCGGGGGTGGGGAGGGGCGCGCCAGAACGCAGCACCAGGTTCTAGTCAGACCTCGTCGGTGAAGACCCGATTCGGAGTAAGGTGAAATGAAGGGTGAAGTCTGTGCACATGGCAGAGTCCCAGACAGGCTGGGGAGGGGCTTGTCATGGGCGCCCGCAGCGGGCTCCCTTGCCTCCCAACTAAGGGGCGCCTTCTCCCTCGTTTGTTCATCCTTCACCCCCTGCCCAGAGGGAGCGGGGTCCTGAGATCGCGGGGCCCGCGGGCACCGTCCATTTCTCACGAATGCATCCCGGCTGCGTCGACACCCAGGTAGGTCATAGCCTTTAATTTCCATGCCGCTTATTTCATCTAAAAATATCTGAGCAGCCGCAGGACTGAATCTCCCCAGGAATGACCTAAAACCAGTGTAATGAGGACTAAGGGATTGCTTCATTTCCATGTGAGAGGGGCACGTTGGGACTAGAAAGAGAGCTGCCCGGTCCTCCCAGGCAGAGCTCTTGTTTCCTTGTCCACGTCCGAGGGAGGCGGGGGTGTTCGCCCCCCACCCTCCAACTACAGCGCCCCAGGACAGAGGGAGCTGGTGAACACCGCGTTCCCGTGTGAGAGGGGAATGAACAGGGGCCCAGAGAAGTCAGCAGCAGACCACTGCAGACAGTCCAGGGCCACCTCACCCCTAGCCAGGTTTCTGGAAATAATGAGTGCACAAAGGTGCATAATAATCACTAAGGAGAGAACTGGAATTATCTGGAAGCCTGTTGGAGCAGCAGGGAAGGAGAGCAGAGCTGTCTTGGGAATCTGCCCCTCCCAACTCGGTGACCTCCAGCAGGTCACTTGCTCTCTCCACCCCAAACAAGGGAACTAAAAATAGCAGCAGCCCCAGCAGACAGGGCACAGTACACCCCAGGTCCAGGGGCTGTTCTCAGTGCTATCTGGATCCTAATGAGTGTGTCCTCACGGCCCCTACGATGTGGGCACTACTATCACACCCATTTACAAACGAGGAAACTGAGGCACAGAGAGGCTAAGCCCTCCCGGTTTTGGGAGGCAGGCTCTCCGTACACTGCTGTCACCTTTCTGAAAGCTGGTTTATTAGAAGTCGTAACAGTTGTATATACATCCTTGGAATTCATCCTAAGAAATAATAAAGACATGGAGAAGGAGTTTGTTCATCGCAGCACTGGTGATATGAGAGTGAGTTAATAAATTATGGGTCACCTGTACAAAAGAAATCTGTTCAGACCTGAAAACCCTGCTGTTGATAAATGTCTATGGGAGAGGAAAACTGTCTGCAGTATATCATTAAATGAAGATATCAGATTCCAAAATGGTACACACCGTATGATCTAATTTTTGCTACCCCACACGCCCATTGAAAGAGGCGTGTGTTGGTGCTGTGTAGCAGCCCACGGAGACCTGGCCTGGAGACCTGGCACAGACTAGTCCTCTGATGCACAGGTGTAAGGAAGTTTGCAGTCTCCTCTTGCAAATGCAAAGGGGATGTTCTCAGCCAAGCACACCAGGAGAGACAGCCTGGGGGTCTTGGGAAAGGGTGGCTTCTCCATTCTTCTCACTTCCTAACGGGCGACATGCTCAGCTCTGCCTGCCCAGGGTGAGCTCCATCGGGCGGCGGACAGCCCCCAGCCTCTTACATTCCCATGTACGTTACCCTGACAACTCCAGCACCAACTTGTATGCTTCCAAAATCCGTGCTAGCAAGCCCACCGCCTGGATCTAACATCTGGGTCAAGGTGCAGTTTGCCATCTGCTGTCCACAGGTCACAGAGCAAGGACCAGGCCTCTCGGGTGCACACAGCCTGTCTGTGGACCTGGAGGCCAGAGGGAGAGCTGGGCAGGGGCCTGAGCGTGTGGATGCTTGTCCTCTCAGAGTGGTATGACAGGTTTCAAATTGCTTCGTTTTGCTCATCAGTAGTTCCTAATTTTTCCACAGTAAACAAATATTGCTTTTGTAAAAAAAAAAAAAAAATTTATTTAAAAACTGAGGGCCTTTGATTAGATGATCCTTTCTATCTCTAAAATCCTGTGATCTCATTATGGCTCTCAAATGTTGTTTTCTCTGGTTTCTTTTCTTTCCTGGCTTTACAAGAGAACGATTTTGTTTCCCACTGTGCTCACTCTAGAGATGCTGTGTTCCCCGAGGTCTGTGGGCAATGGGGGTGTAGCCTGCAGCCAGCCCTGGGCCGCCTGCGGTGAGGGGCAGGCTGCGGGCGGACGGCCGGGGTTTGGTGGGGACACTAGGTAAGGAACCTCCACGTAGCTCTCGGGGTGCAGGGTTGGGGGGGGCGAGGCAGAGGAGACTGGCAGAGGAAGTAAAGTTCTTTCCCTTCTTACTATACTCCTCCCTAAAAAGAGGAAAACACTACAGCAGTCCAAGAAACTGTCAGCCAGGATCCTCAGAGGTTAGAGTCATTTGAGAGATTGCTAACCCAGGAGGCAGGAGTCTGAGCGTTTAATCCCTTCTCAGCCTCAGTGCGGCCCACGCCTCACTGCAGAGACCCTGTTTCTTAGGAAAGAAGGTGCAAGGGGGCTCTCTCTGCAGGTGGTTTTGCTCTCAGGGGATGGGCTGGGGGCCCGGGGCCCAGAGCCTTGGGGACATAGGACCCAACACACTCGCAGGCTCTGGTGAGCAGCACTTTCTACCCAGACCGCAGGCTTTGTAACAAGGCTCTCTGGAATCTGAACAGCTTGGGTAAATGTTATTTTGAAGAAGAAAGAGAGCAGTTTACCATCCCATTTTTATTATTATTGTTGGTGTTGGTATTAAAAAGAGGCCAACCACACACAATCCCTTCACTCGAGAATGCTGTCCTAATCAACCTGTCTGGGTCTCTGTCCCTTTCTTCTCGCAGCTGTGAGAGGAGCTCCATGCTCAAGGATGGGCTGCACTCTGTGGCCCATGGGGCGGGTACTGTGCTGTGGCTGGTTCTTTCAAAGTGACTTCCTCCCTGTCTGTGAAGGCCACCGACACCCTTTCCCTTAACCACAGGCTGGGGCCTCTCGAGGTGGGCCCTCCTCTCCATGAAACTTGGGGTGGGGTGGCATTGTCCCCCCTTCCCCACGATTGTGCCCAGGTTTCAGGGCGAGATGGTTCCTTGGCTTGTTGGGATGAATTTTGTGAAGTGCCTCACCTCTGATTTTGCATCCCCACTTTTTTTCCATCTGTCTTTTTGAACTCAATGGGTCCCTTGAGGACAGAAGTCTCAGGTTGTGATCCCTGTCATCAAAGTCTCGGGCAAGGCCACGCCCCGTGGCTGCCGAGTAGAGGCGATTCCCACCTGGGAGATGAAGGATCTGGGAAGCTAACCAAGCCTCAGGGGGATGGGAGCTGTCCAGAGCAGCAATGCGAAGCGATTAACTGTGATTCTGTGTTTCTATTTCTGGAGGCAGTTATCTGTTAAAGTTTTGTTCTCTATCTGGGCAGGATCCTGAGGGGCAAGCTCCGAGAGAGGAGGCAGGCTGGGAGAAGATGGCATCAGAAGAGGGCAGAAGCCAGAGTCTTCTCTTTGGTTCTCTTTCCCCATTGTGGATAACCACCCTTGCTTGAGCTGTAGTGAAGCTCTAGGGACCCTGCAATGGTTAGGATGGTCGCACCTCCTCCCCTGGCTACCACCTGCCGGTTGCCAAACACACCACTCTCCTGTCCCCAAGCCCCACCCAGCTAGCGCGCATGCCTGAAGACCCTGCCCTCAGCCACCTGGAGAACATCTGTGAGTTCTCAGCTTGACTCCCGTTCTTCCCCTCTCAGTCTCCCTTCTGTAGCTCATCATGATACTCATCTGTATGGACCCTGAGGAGAGGGACATCCTCTAACTCCTGTGTGGGTCCCTCCTCGGCCTCCCTATGGGTGTCAGCGAAATGACGGACCTCGGGCCTGAGCAGCGGCAGGCAGAGGACGCTCGGCAGTTCTCCTGTCTTGGCCCTGTCACTTTTAAATCAGAAACCACTTCCCACACACATGCCTCTTGTTAGAACATCTTCCTCACCGGCTGAAGATAAACTAATAGAAATCTTGGAAGAGCTGGCTCAGAGATTTAAATAGACCAGCCAGACCCTACCCAGGGCCAGAATCACCTTAGAAAAGACGAGAAGGTGTGGACTAGGGGCCAGTGAGCAGACTCCACCTCTTCCCTTACCTAAAGATGCCACTGTAGCAATGAGGAACCTATGCAGGATGGGAGCTTTATTTTAAAATAAATATGACTGGGGCTGGGAACAAGCTAACCTTCATCTTCTGTAGCATGTCTTTTCCTCTGTAAATCTCTCCTTTATTTGAGAATGTGGTTTTCTTAAAAAGTCTGTGTTTAAGATTACCGCACATGGTCAGTTTGAGGGAAGCAGTGGTGGGAGGAGGGATGATTGTGCCGACAGCGCCGTGCATCTCTGTCGCTGAGAGCGGGCTGTACACTGCCTCTGCCATGTCCCCGGGAGCAAAGCATAACCAAGGGACAGTGCATATTGACATAAACAAATGACATGAGGCCTAGTTTACATTTGCTTAAGAGTGGCTTCAATAATGCACCTGGCATTCTGGTGCTACAGTTTAAAAAACTTTTAAGTTACACCATTTTACCTCCTAGTGACTCTAGGGAAAGTTGTAACAAAGTCAACGAACAGATTTAGAATATATCTTCGTGCATTCTTGGTGTTCAAGGTGAAATAAACCTAACTCTGTCACCCACAGCGGAGGAAAACCCAGGTGCACACAGCTCGGTCAGTCACACGTTGCGGTTCCTCAGAGGGGCTCAGAGCCGGGCTTCCAGCCAAGGAGCCCCAAAGAAGGGGTTTTTCTGGGTGCACGTGCCTGGAAGGTCAGTGAGCACTGGCTTCACTTGACTGCCTCTCTCCTTCTCTCAACGAGGAAAGCAGGGGACTCTGGGGTGCTGGGTGTCGGTGAGGCTGGCACAGGTGGGCTGTGAGGGAGGGGGGCCACCAGGGATAGGGGCCTCAAGGTGAAGGGCAACCCACCACCCCGCTCACTGGCTGTTCCACATTGTGCAGGCTGCTGATTTCTTCCCGCTTATTTTCTTATCCATAAAATGGGCCTCCTGGGTTTTTAGAGAGGCTTTTCCTGGCTGTATTTGCCCTGAAGTCCTCTTTCTCCTCACTTGGGAAATTTAATAACCACAGTTAAAGCAGACAGTTGTGAAAGATAAAGAAAATAAAAAGGACCAGAAGGCCACAGCCCATCTGCTGTGCTTCGAGTCTGCGGTGAATGGTGGCTCACCTTTGTCTCCAGACTGTGGCTTTCCTTGGGGTCTAGACAGCCAGGTGCAGGAGTGGCCGAGAGACTTACCTCCCCTCCCACGGTTAACACCAAAGCAGGGCTGTTGGGGCGCATGTGCTCACATGTTACAGCTCGACAACAACGATGGGACCACAGTTGCAGGTTTCCACAGATTTATTTTAAACCATGGAGGGAACTTTGCATTGGGAGTCTTTACATTGGTAATGGCTACATATGTTTTCAGTTAGGGGGAAGCACAGTGGGAGAGTGAGCAGTTTAAAAACATTCACAACATTCAGCAGCATTTGAATGTAGAACCGGATATAGACAGTTTAACATTGTGGGAAGTTCTTGCTCAACCCCACCTAATCACATTCAGGAAGTCAGTGTCCAGACCACTGGGTCTGGTTGGTGGACTGTAGTGGCAGAGAGCATGGCAATGCCAGAAGAGTTCAGCTAGAACCACATTTGAGAAATCTGTTCCAGCTTCGGGCTTATTACAGTCTCAGCCTGACCCCTTGGGGAATCTCCTCATTTCAAAAAGAAAGAAAAAGATATCCATGAAGTAGCATGCCTGCTGCAGCCAGGCTCCGATGTGGCCACAGACTGATGGCGTGCAGAATGGAAGAGTCCATGTCCCTGGTTATGGATATAGTGGTAGGCAGGCACGAACGTGGGGCTAGCACCCTCCCTGTTGTCCAGTTAATAACAGTTTTTGTACTTTTCATATAAAGAGTTTCTTTTGCAAAATGACAGTACATTGAAAAGAAGTCATTTAAAAAGCAAAGCAAATGCCATAAAACATAAATATACAAGAGTACAATGGTTACCAGTGACACAAGTGTCTTGGTCCATCCTTCATATGGGCATATGCTACTGACATAAGGCTGACATCCATTTAAACGGGGGGAAAAAGTATATATAAGTGAAATACTTTTTTTCAAACCATTTTCACTTTTTTTGTAATAGTTCACCCTCTTGTGCTTCCCAGAGAACCAAGGGGAAAAAAGGAGGAAAGAATCATAAAGATCAAGGTTAAATTCTAAATCTAACCTTTAAACCAATGTGCAGTTCTCTGATACTTTCTCTCCCAAGAAAGTCAGATATACTTTTTGACTCACAAAGGTGAACATTTTGAGGTATCTATTTTTAAAGAGATGGTACCATGATGAACTTCCACCTTCACCATCTTTTCAAACCTGCTAGGCTTTAGATGGAAAAACACAGAAAGCAATTTACTAGATATGACAGACGACAAAGGCATTGCGGTATGTTCTCATTTATCTGAGTAAGTCAGCCACATGCAGGTTGCTCACTGGTAATGGTTTAGGCCAGTCCGATAATAAACAACATTCATGGAATCATAGGATTGCAGGATTGGAAGGGATCTTAAGAATGATCACTGAATTCAACCCTTACTCAAGGCTTTCACCTCCTTTCCACATCTCGGACAAGGGGCTATCTATTGTCTGTTCAAAAGTTGCCTGGCATGGGAAACAGAGGAGGAATCCCGTTCCAATTTTGGACAGATCTAATTTTTAGACACTGCTTTCGTGTGTTAGGCCTCTCGGTGGAAAATGGTAATGTTTCAAGGCAAAAATACAAACTAAAAACCCTGAGGGCTGGTATGTATATACTTCTTGGTTGTAAAGTTGAGCTAAAGTTTAAAAATGAACATGGATGTTCCTGAATTAAGTTATCCACATATGATACTTGGTAGTCAAAGACAAAGGCAAACGGAGGGAATAGCAAGAACTAGAAAGTTCAAGCCCTGAGGGGGGTGCTGGGCTGCCCCTGCCTTGGCAGAGCCAGGTCTCTGAGGCAGTGGCTGCCTGAGCCCTTTTTACTGACACTGAATTGAGAAAAACGTTCGCTTCCACTTGGTGAGCGCCACTGCGATGAGGATTTATCACAGTGACCACTTTGTACTGAGATGACCCATTACCGGCAAGAACGATTTAAAGCCGAGAGAGAAATGGAGGGCAGCAGCTGCCTGCTTATGTGCCAAAAGGTTGATGCTGCGTATTAGTATAATGCCACAGTTGTCCAGAACAATCTCCTCCTGCCATAGGTCAAGGTCTTAAGCCCGGCTCACCTGTGTAATTATGGAATTATTATGTAAGTTCTTCCAGGCCAAGTCCGTGCATGCAGTGGTCTCCAGCTCCACCTCACGGCCTCCAGTGAGGGGCTGTGCCCCCAGAAAGTTCAAAGGTTAGTTACTATGGATCATTTTAAGATAACAGTTCCAGGTATTTCCAAAGAAAAAGAAACTGATTCTAGCCTTAGCTGTGGGAAAACCTGACTCTCAAACTAATGAGCCTCTGAGGAAACCCCTCATGGCAAACTGTGTGCTGCCTCCCTCTCTGTTGTCATGAGCATCTGCCTCTCATAGTGACGAGCTCAGGCTCCAGGACTGCAGCTGAGCACTTGATATCCTCTGGCAACTCCAGACCACTTGTGGTCCCCGAGCACCAGGCTGATGCCAGATCTTGGGCCTTTGTTTACGCTGTTTCTGCAACCTGGAAAATCATTTCCTTACCCGACTCACTCCACCTCAGCTCAGAAGTCCTTTCCTCTGTGAAGTCCCTCCAGCCCCACCTGGGCGTAGAGGCATCCTGTGCAGCTCCTGGGGCAGGACCCCACACACACCTCTATCACTGAATTTACCACATCGTACTGAAATGATCTTCTACTCCTCCGTGTGGCTTCTGCCCATACCAGGGAATGGACCTCGTCCTCCCAGGGCCTAGTTCAAAGCCTGGCATATGGTGGGCACTCAACAAATGGCTGAACTGGACTAGAATCTGAAGGATCATCTAGATAACTCAGTGTTCAAAATGGACTTAATTTCTGTTTTTTCCAATTGAGTCACTGGATATTCACTTTCATATCAGGAAAAATTTAACATTATTTTAAAGGAGAGAAAAAGAAGAATGTTTTGGCAAAATGATTGCTTTCACTTTAAAATATAAATCTTAGTGAACAAGGTCACTTACATACAATTAAACTACTATGAAAAGGCAAACCAAAGGAATCTCATTTAATGAATACTTATGTCCAGTAACTTTGATACAGAGTTTTAGAGCTATCCCTTTGCTTAAAAGTCAAAACTGATTGTTTAAATCAGTTGATTGTTAAGCAAAAATAAATTATACTTTAAAAAAATGGATCTCACAACATGAACAAGTGATGTTCCCAAGAAGGGCAAGTGCTGTAGGCACAGGGACTCGCTCCAGGCCAGCCTTCAGACAACAGGGTAAGGTGCATTCAGTGTCCCTGGATTTCCACTTATTTGTTGCCACTGGGATGGTCTCTGGGGAAGACTATATGAGTGAGTTTATGCTGAAGACCTGCAATAATTGCCTCATTGTGGAGTACCCACCCACTCATAACCATAGGGCTGGGGCCAAAAGAAGTGTCAAATTCGCTTATGATAAGAGGAGCAAACCTGGTTCCTGAGAGCTCCCTGTCTCAAGGCGCTGGAAGTCACTCCTCCCACTCATGCCATTACCAGCTAATGTTCAAAAACAATTGTTCCTTGAAAATTCTTCTTTTAGATTCTCTTGTTTACACCTCAGCTATATCTAACTGCCTGGTATGACTAAAGTGTGTTTTGTGCTTGGAATGTTCTAGATCTCTGAAGATCCCTTCCAGTTTTGTGATTTTAAGATTCTTTGAATAATTCAAACAATCAAATGAGAAATACATTATGGTTGATTGACCACATATAAAAAGACACATGATTCCAAGTAGTTTATCTAAAACCACACTGGCTACTGTGGAGACATACCCAGGCAGTTAAAAGTTCTAGCAACATCATTTCTTTGGAGAAACTGAGAGCATGTGATTGGTCTTATCCTACCAAATAAAGAATAACCATGTG